AGGTCTCACCGTGGGGACTATCCGCAGCTGCCCACAGGGCACTGGGTTGCCCAAGGCACATGACCCCATCCCTGCTCTACCAGGAAGACCCCTCTTCTAGCTCTGAAGTTGGGGTAACCCACTGGGAACTGCAAAGCCCACCTTCCACCTTATTTGGCAAAGAACATTCCATGGAAAACCTTTGATATTCCGTGATATAAATAAAGGAAACATGGGCTCCATTTTGCTCTTTTGAGTGTGGAAGCTTCATCCTGAAGATCGTCTAGCCCATCCCACCCCTGCTTTTAAAATTACTTTCTGTATCCTGTAGAGTATTTTTGTCCCCTGCTTTACCTTTCTTAGCTTTTATTCTGCAGCCAGCCCATGCCACCAAGAGAAACTCTCTTTTGACCACCTGCAGTTTTGAACTCTTGGTCCTCTTGCCTCAGCCTCCCGAGTCACTGAACCGCTGTGGCGGGCTCCTGACTGCTATTTTTATATTTTTTATATTCACTTCTATTCTCATCCCATCTTTGTTTTGGAATCTAAAGTGAATCTGACGTAGACAGCAGAGCAATTTTGATTGGATTCTAGGTCTTATGCCCAAGGGTGTAGCACTGGCTACATCCCCAGCCACTATTTAATATTATTATATTTTATTTTCAGACACTGTTACGCTAAGTTGCTGAAGCCAGCATCTAACTTGTGATCCCGTAGCCTCAGTCTCACAAGTAGGTTAGCGACAGCATTGCACCACTGTGCCCAGAGGATGATGACTCAGACAGGCTCTCCATAGGTCACTCAGTTCGCCCCCAAACTTGCAGTCCTCTTACCTCAGCCTCCTGAGTTTCTAGAGTCACAGAGGTGTGCTGCATGCCCAGCTTGATCACTATGTTTTCAAAAATTGGAAAAAATTATATCTATATGCAGTAATAGTCACGAAAAAAGTAATAGTAATAAACCAAATGCGTCTTCTATGGCTTGGATAGCATTTGTCCCCAAACAAGCGTAGGTTCTGGATACTTGGTCCTCCTTATGGTAGCACTGAGGCAGGGGAACCTTTCAAATGTGCTGTCTCCTGGGTGTTAATTCAGTCACTGGGGACACCACCCTCAGGAGGAATGGACACTAGTCTCTTGGAATGAGTTTTTGAGGAAACAAGTTGTTATGAAGACTCAAGGCTGCCCCTCTCTGCTCTGTGGCTCCTATTGGTCCATAGGATTTTCCCTCTTCCACTTGTCCCCACTCTGGTGACAGCCACCGTGCTGGAATAGAGCAAAGAGGGTACTCCCCAGGAGCCAAGTGGATGGCATGCCTTTATCTTGGACTCTCAGACCCTAAAATTCTGACCTAAATGACTTTTTATTCACAAACTACTCATCCTTAAGTATTTCCTGATAGCAATAAAAGAATGGAGTCTTGTAGTCATTCAGCATCAATGTTTGTTTGCTTCTAAGTGTTGTTTTGCACTCATTTAAAAAATTGTTTTTAAATTTTATTTTTTTAATACACAGCATTGGAATGCATTGCAATTCTTATTACACATATAGAGTCCAAGTTTTTACACTTATGTTTTGAAAACACATAGAAAAGAGTTAGAAACTAAATACTCCATGGCACTGGCTATATTTAGCTGCCATATTGAGCTACTGAGCTACATCCACCACTATTTCTCATTATTCTATGTGGGCTCAA